TTTAAATTATCATGAATTCTAGCTCTATATCTTATGGTCATTTTCTGAAAAATGCAACCCATTGTGAGTAGCCGTTTTGACAACACGGGAGAATAATAATTGAAACATTTGCAAATCCTGGCAAGCGCCGTGAACACGAGCGTGACCTCCAAATTTAACCCGGTGTTCTAAATCCAGAGAAGTTAGCTGCATTTTCCCCGCATTGGAATGGACCATACGATTTTGAAAATGCCACAGAAATCAAGTAGGGAATGACAGCTATAGAATGAGAGGTGATAGGTGAGAATCGACCGAAAATTGGCGAAACGGCAATAAAACACAAGTTTAACGGCAATTTTCGTATCGACTTACAACTTTCTGGCATATCAATCACTCATAATTTGAAAAAATATATATATTAATAGACACAAATCTAGTTTTTGTGAGTGTGACATCGATTTAAAGAGCGCGACAAGCCCATTTTAAAAGTGGTACCTCCAAACCCGGTACTTTGTTTACATGGACTCCATTTTCATGTACGAAGCGAATGTTTCACTCCTTCACTTTTATATACGGCAAAATACGTTTATTTTGTTATTAACATGTCTAAAATGCAGCATAAATGCAAATTAAAACGAATTGTACATGTTAGAGCATTCACAGCTGTAGAATTGATATGATTCATTGGTTATTTTGGCATAAAAATAGATCGATCAGGCACAGAGATTTCAAATTTTCCGGGCAGCTCCCAGTTATGTTTTCCATGCATACTTGTTTTCTAAGTTGCCAAAAAATAAGTTGTATATTATGCTATAATGTTATATCTTAGATTTGTTTATCCGTGTCAATGCTTTTTGTTTCATAAGTATTATTATAGCGTAAAAATAGGCAAAGCTTGGTAGAACGCATAGCCGGTCGATGAGGGCGTTTTCAATGCATTTGTATAGGAATAAAAACGAGGGCAACATAAACGAAAGTAAAACTTGTTTATCTTTATTGACACTGACAGATGATTTAAAATGAAATTTGAATATGGCCTGTTTCCATGGTAACAAATGGGCTATATGTTGCCTTCTAATGACAATAGATAAATATTGATATATAGTTAAATTTGTTGAAAATTTGTTGAAAATTCAATAAAAAAGGGGAAAGATATGGCAGTTTAAGTTCAGCTCCAATTAGATAATTAGTGCTTATTCATCCAAAATGGTGCTGTTGCCTTTACTTTTCAGTAGTGCTTTGTTGTGTCATCCTTTGTCCAAAATTAAGAGATGCTAATTGAAGTACCTTACTATATCTCGAGAACGGTTACCCTGATTTTCATCAAATAGTAGAGATCTGTCCAATGCCACCATGTAAACTACTCTATGATATGTGTATAATAATGTACTCAAGCCGAGTACAATGAGCTATGTCTGAGGTGTTGTATCCTAATTTTGTAGGAGATACATTTAGCTCGAAGCTATCCAAAAATCATTTTTTTACTGTTGCAATGGCAACGATGGACCAACATTTTTTTGCAGACTTTTCCTAATAACTAGGGTGAAGGTGTGACCTACCTGCCATGTTTGAGCGAAATCGGCCAAGCCAAAAAAATCACAGAAGAACTAATACGTGAAAACACTGGAAATCACACACACAAATGATTTGAGGGGCAATCCTCTTGGAGCGGATCGCCAATACCATGTTCATTTGCATATTGACCGTGAAAATACCGAAAACATTATTGCATGGGTGATATGCAAATTAGTTTTAGTCAAAATAAGTGACTGCCTAGAAGTACCATTACTGTTGTTCAAATTTCATTTCACTCGGCAAGTATATTCATGTACCCCAAGTGAAAAATATCGCACTTCTAAATATTGTTTATTTCTGGTATGTTTCGAAAACGCTACTCTTCAAAGAACTACTTTGTTTGCATATGGGGTGTGGAAATATCGATTTCATAGACGAATCAAAATAAACTGCAGTACATATATAATAATGTGGTATACTTCATTTCTACTGAAAACGTTTTCCCCTGAAAAAAATTCCAGTGAAAATGCCCTTTACATACTCTATTGAGACACAGCACAGGAAAAATCGGATTCACATGTAATGCTTGAAAACGTTTCAGCGAAAATAAATTTCATAAGAGTTGAAATAAACAAATTATGTGACGCCCGACCCTACCACTCCATACACAATGTAAACTATAGCCCCAAAACATCCTTTCACTCACGGTTTCACCAGTGCATTCTATTTGACTTCAAAAGAAATTGAAATGAACAAACTATGTGACACCCGACCCTACCACTCCATACACAATGTAAACTATAACCCCAAAACATCCTTTCACTCACGGTTTCACCAGTGTATTCTATTTGACTTGCAATAAACAAATTATATGACAATGCACTTAATGATAATTTCAGCCTCTAGTTCAGCACTGATTAAATAAACTACCTCGTCTTCATGCCAACTTGAAGTTATCATTCATTGCCTACATCAGTGACTTCAATCCCAGGAATTTCACTTGCTATTAATTGCATGGGACTGCCAGTCTTTCATGATTTTCTATTGTAATATCAATTTTGCGATTACTCTGAACATGAAGCTGTAACCACAGAGCGTCTAGGTGCTGTAATTAAATCCTTGTATAAGCACCGGTTAGGCAGGCTTGAACTATGCATGTGAAGCCAGCCGAGAGGTTTATTCAATCCTATAGATTTCTCATTGTTTGGTAACTATTTGCTGCAAATGCAACAAAAATCAATTTAAAAAATATTACCCACACAGCATTCTACAGGTTACTTGTTATATATAGTGCCACACATAGAATAATGGTTTCTGTAGCAAAATACACCAATTGTTTGAACATTGAAAAGGCTAGGATAGACAACAGTGATATTCAATGTATGATGAAAAAAAATGTTGTTAATGAATGACTTTTTGTTAACAGTAAATCCAGAACGTATTTGATTGCAGTGGATGATATAGTATTTCGTAAACCAGTCAAAATCGGATCATTACTGTATTTGGCATCCCAGGTACGTATAACTGCAGCCAGCACTCACTGTACAATTTGAACTATCGAAAATTAATTAACTATTTGAATATAAAAACCATTCCCACAACCAGAACATATTTCCCACTTCCAGACTCCGTGAAGAAGTGATGGTTACGACAATGATAAAACTTAATAGTTATATCCACAACAGTCAGGACTTTCTTCTTGGAGTTGATCTCCACAGTCAGTTGGGGCATGGATGTGATTGATTGATAAAAATAGCTGCTCATTTGAATATGCTAATTTTCCAAAAAATGGATGACAGTTATTTTATTTAGTTCCGCTGTCGACAAAGTCAAAGACGCATAGCTCCTCATATTACTGATTGTCCGGCGTCTGTAAGATGTAGTATGTAGTCTGTTGTCAACTTTTTGACTCCCATGTGCGAAGCACAAAAAGGAAGTGTTTGCAGTTAGTGTGTCTGTGTGTGTGTGTGTGTGTGTGTGTGTGTGTATGTATGTGTGTCCGTCTGTTCCACTGATATCTCAAGAACCATACATCAGTTTTTAATGAAACTTGGTGCATAGATGCTCTGGGCCAATGCCCAGATTTGATTAGGTTTTGGTAAAAATCCATGCATATTAATTACCTAATTTGCATGATAATTAGCTGATTTTAAGCTGTTCCATGACTGTTCCACTGATATCTAAAGAACCACTCATTGGATTTTGATGAAACTTGTCACACAGATGCTCCAAACTAATGCACAGTTTTGATAAGTTTTGGGTAAAATCTGTGCAATATTAATTATCTAATTTGCATAATGATTAATCAATTTTCAGCTTTTCCACTGATATCTCAAGTACTAATCATCACATTTCAATAAAACTTGGTACATAGATGTCATAGGACACTGCACAAACCTGATAGTTTTTAGGGTAATATCAGTATATATTAATTAGCTAATTTGCATAATTAATTAATTTTCAGCTTTTGATATTTCAAGTAGTAATCACATTTCAATGAAATTTGGTACATAGATGTCATAGGACACTGCACAGACCTGATAGTTTTTAGGGTAATATCAGTATATATTAATTAGCTAATTTGCATAATTAATTAATTTTCAGCTTTTGATATATCAAGTAGTAATCATCATATTTCAATGAGATTTGCTACATAGATCTTCTAGGATTATGCAGACACCTGATTAGTTTTAATTGGATATTAATTACCTAATTTGCATAATGTTCCACTGATATATAAAGAACCACAAATTGGATTTTAATGAAACTTTTAAAGAGAACTATGCAGAAAACCAATTAGTTTTTGGTAAATATTTATGCTTATTAATCACCTAATTAACATAATTAATTAACACTGATATCTCAATTACTGATCATCACATTTGAAAAAAATTTGGTAGGACAATAGACAGGTCTGATTAATTTTGATTAATATTAATTTTCTAATTAGCATAATAATTCATAATTTTTTTGTTCTGTTCTGTTCATATTAGTTACCTGATTTACATAATTAGTTTTCAGCTTTTCCATCAATATCTCATGTACAAGTAATTTTGAATTAATTTTTAATGTGTCTTCAATACTCTCATCACACGGGAGTTCTTTCTAAGCTTTCTTTGATTACATTTTTGTCTTTTCAAAACCGTTAAACCATATTTGTTCTAGGGGGAGTCGTGAGTCAGATTTGTTCATGTCGTGATGATATCTTCTCTAATTTTGATGAATATTTTTGTAATTTTTGGTAAAAAGTGATATTTTCAAACTTCTTATTGAAAACTTCAAGTCCGATTACTTTTATATTATATATATAGGTACTACATGTGGACCTCTCTCATATTTGTTCATTTCGTGATGATATGTTCAATTCTCTAATTTTGATGAATATTTTTGTAATTTTTGATAAAAAGTGATATTTTCAACTTCGTGTTGAAAACTACAAGTCCAGATTACTTTCATATTATATATATAGGTCCTAAATAAGACTTCCTTCAGATTTGTTCATTTCATAATGATATCTTCAATTCTCTAATTTTTATGAATATTTTTGTAATTTTTGGTAAAAAGAGATATTTTTGACTTCTTGTAAAAAACCGCAAGTCTGATTGCTTTGATACTATACATATTGTTCATTTTCTAATGATATCTTCTGTTCTTTAATTGAAATGTGCATTGCTAACAGCGGGGCTATCTCAGCCGAGAGGCTGCTTGTTCCTTGCACTATATCAATTGATGTTATCAATTAGAGTGTGAGGAATATTATATAATTTAATTATTTAAATTTGTAGGTGGCTTACACAGAAGGATGTTATCTTCAGGTCAGAGTTCATGCTGAAGTGGTTGACCCTACAACAGGTCAACATGAGACAACAAATGATTTCCATTTTACATTCGATAAACGAAGTCCTGTTTCGCCTGTAATGCCCAAGACATATCCAGGTATGTTAATAATTGTGTATAAATTGAATAAATCAAACCAAAATTACAATACATGAACACTGAATAAAGGTTTAATGGTCCTTGATTTGTTATCAGATTCTAAACATAGTGTGAAATATCAGTAAGTAATTGACGAGGAGAATATGTATTTATGATGTCAACTGAATTTCACCTACCAAATGTCTTCTACTGTTGGTGACTTAATAAAAGATCATGTAGATCAATGCGTTTTTCAAAGTCTTCTTCACATTAAAGTCTATTACACTGTGTCTCATTCCATTATACCTTGTTAATATTTATTCAAAATGAAAGCAGCAGACTTGAGTCAAAACCATACAGACATAGAGCCACACAATTAGTGTACTGTAACTTGACGAATAAATACATATAATTATACAATTATCATTGTGTGTAAAAAGTTAAGTTTGATTTTTTTTTTTTTATCGAAGATGAACATTTTGAAATCTGCCAGTATAGAGATGTATGTGTTCATATAGATAAATCACTTCTTAATGTCCTTTTCAGATGCTATGCTGTACTTGGATGGCAAACGCCACTTTAGAGAAGCTGAAGTACCATTGAACTCCTGTTGAGGAGCAGTGTAAGGAGTTTCTGGTTGTTTAATGCAACTAGTACATCGAACGAAGAATTTCAGATGATTTATGTTGTGTTGATGGTTGTCCAGATATATTTTAAAACATGTCTTTTTCGCGAGCATGTCTTTTTCGCGAATTTAGCGAGAGAACTGAGTCTCTAATTCAAGATGTCGCTAAGTATTGTGAAAACAGGAAATCAACAATGACAAAACAGATTCGCTAAATCAACATTTCGCTATTACATCATTTTACCACAATTCGCTAAAATTGATTTATCTGAATTATTTATATACCAATACTTCAACCATCTCTGGTGGTGTTAGATGATACTAAATCTACTAGTAGCAAGTTATTCTTCAGGATTCTTGTGGATTAAAATCGGATTACAGTTGAAGTTGATGTTGTTGATTGTAAATATATTATATCCACAAGGTATCTGACCATTGATTTTAATAATTGTGTTTCAAGTTCTTTGGATTTTTTAATACTAAGTGTCGTTCTTATGTGTTGATTCAGCTTTAAAAAATGGGCATTGATGTTTAAAATTCCACTCTGTGTGCTTAATTGAAATTCGATTCATACATTTTGTTAACTATCTCTTAAAGACTGTTGTTCATAATAAATTCTGTAAATGATTTTTCCTTCTCGAACAATAGTGGGTGTGGTGGTCTAGCAACTATACAAAAGAAGTCTATTTTGCTTCCAATATCTGTTTGTAGTAGTTAAACGTCTCATTCAACTAGTGCTCAATAGTTACTGCAAAACACCTTCCATATAAATTGGTTAACCAACAGTTGTCAGCATTTTACATTTGTGACTTGCATTTATTGAACTTGATTGCTCCAAATGTTCTCTAAAACTGCATGCTTATGAATAACGATTAATTGTAAAAAATAGTTTACTTGAATCCATTGAATATTTAGTGACATAGCCAAGATTTTCCAAAAAACGTGGCTTGTAGCAACACTTCATTCAGTTTTCGCTTCTTAAAGTGAACTGTTAAATTTATTAGTATGGCAATTACAGTTGTAACTTTATATCACTCGTATGTAGGAATGATTATAATATAACATTTTAATATCAAGAACAAATTGATTAAAACCGACCAGCAGGTTAAAATTAACGTATCCAGTGAAGATAAAATAGAGGCGTTTTGAATACAACCTTTAGTAACCAAAAAAATATGAAATTGGTTGACAAATTCGACAATTACATAGTCGGTCCGTTTAACATCTACTTATCAGTGTTCGCTCAGTGAAACGATAAGCTAGATAGATCACGAGTAAATGTATACGTTAGAAGTTCATATGGTGTTCTTTTATCGCTAAGATCACGTGTAGAACTGTGGCTGATCGGACCTGAACATGCGATGTTGTGGGTGTGATTGGTTCAATGGTTGAAACACAAGTTGTGGCTGATTTACGTCGCCGTCTTTCTTTGGTGTCAATGGGACTCGTGTTCCTAGTAACAATAAAAAGGAATTTGCTTATCTAGCAAGAAAATATTTTGAGTTCAAAAGATTATTTAGCTAAAATGACTTCCCGTAGCTTTTATAAAAGCATGGATATAATAATATGATCATTAGTTATTAATTATTGATTGATTCGTTGGCATTATTAACATAGTCGTATAAATCTATAGATGGGTCGATGGATTGATTTCATTTAAGGCATTACCTATTACATCAGTTATTTTTATAATACTAATAATACTTAAGCTTCACTTACTGTTTATCTCAGTTGCCTTGCCATTAGGTGGTTCGATAGATTCCATTTCTTGTTGCAACCCATCATCCGGGTCTTCCATGTAATACGCCTAATGTGAGAAAGCAAAACTGGCATATATTAAAGCAATAAACCATTGGCTATAGGTATACCGTTTGGTTCTCTCAATAAGCACGGTATATGACATGATGTTGTGGAACTTCAAATGGCATACCCCATCGTGAGATTGTATATTGTTGTACTATACCATATATTACAAATATTTAGGGTAACAATTTAATAACAAAACACCCTCCAAAGAAACACAATGAATCTGTAACGATAAGTTATGGATGGGTCCGTGGTGCGCGCCTTGTCATTTGAATCAGCGGCAACATAACATCAAATTTGGTCGTTGGAAGGCAGACGCCAGTAAAATAATTAACGAGCGTTATTCAAGAAATCGACAAATATAATATAATATAACAATAAATACGTAATGAGCATAGCGTATGCGAAACATATTTCAGGGAAACAGTTATAAATACCCAAATCACCGAGGAAATGCCAGATATGGTAATTATTTAATATTTACTGAAAGAATAGTGCAGTCGCCATGACGTTGTCAATATCAATCCCCTATGTCAACTGAATAATCCATCGTTGATCTATCTACTGAATTGAGGTCAATATTATTATAGCAAAATGTCATTATATGAATTTATACAACTCTACATACGGGACTGTGACTTCTCCGCTTACACGTACACGGCGTCACCTTGTTACAAATGACACAATTTATAATTGCGACAATAGCCTCTGTTACGGCAGCTATCAGTATCAGGCAGTCTACAACGAGCCGTCCTTCCTGTGTGAATAAATATAATATATACTTCAATAAGTCAAAACATGTGCGTACAGTTGTGACATACCTATATGTTTAAAATCGCATTACTAGCCCGAACAATCTGAAATCAACTGGAGGGTTTGGGGAAGGAAATGTGACAAATGTGTTCAAAATAATAATTCTATCGTTCAGCAGGTCAATCTGAGGCTTAATTTGACAAATCTACAGTGTTTGATTGATCTAGGCATATGCATGTGAGTTCTTAATTTCTCGGAGAAAAGGGACACACTTTTCGAAGTTAGCATGTCTACGAGAACAAGTAAATTGGATATTCAAGGACAATACAACAAGAAAGTGTTTTGGCAGAGGAAGAGCTTGTTGTTTTAAAAGTTCCATCTGAACCACACAATCAAAAGCACAGCGACTTTCGAACAGAATTAGAAGACAACGTGTCCTTCTGGTGTTTTGATTAAAGTTTGCATTTTATCAAAAAAGGCGTAATTTTGTAAAAAAAAAATCAGTGGAAAACTAACTGAACGTGATACTATTACGACAAAGACTGGCGATCTATTAAACTGACATTAGTCTTTCTGTAGGCTCGATCTGTAGTATTGTTCAATGGAGTGTGATTTGTATAATAGTTCTTTCATAATAGATTGGTCTGAAATGTATTTACGTTAACTCGAAGAACTAAAAAAGTATTTCATTTTCATAGTATACATTTCATTGCCCCTCAGGCTAATGAATACAGTAGTTTTATCCTATTCTATTCTATTCTATTCTATTCTATTCTATTCTATTCTATTCTATTCTATTCTATTCTACAGTTGGACTCACATAGTATGGAATCTCGGTCACGGTGCAATCATCCAAGATAACAGTGGTATTACTATAATTATTTGTTACATCCACAGTTTCACAGTTTTTGACATATTCCTCTTCCATCGTTATGGCAACCAGTGACGTCACAAATAGTACTGTGCAAGCTAGGACAGTGGCCATTAAACTCATCACACTAGACGTAATGATCTGTGAGAAAACAATTAGTCATTTAAGTGCATTGATTGTGAGCGAGAAGGGAAATTTTCACTTTTTTCTTGATTTTTCAAAAATTGATAAAACGGTTACTTCAGACCTTGATACATCATCCCAGGTTCACAAAAGATCGAAATTGCAAAATAACGTTGATTAAATTAGTGTTTTAAAACGCTAGAAGAAAAGACTACAACTGCCGTTTATGCATTTTTGCATAATGTTTATCTTTGGAAGGGTTTAAATGATAACATCTTATCTGTAGACTCTGTTGTTGACGATTCTGATATAACGGGTGATAAGCTTCCAGTTGCAAACAATGCGTGTTTATCTAACGTCCATTGCCAGCATTATTGTCAGTCGAGACTTCGTCGGAGAAACATGGTCATACAGTCCGGGCATACAGTACTCATTTCGCCCAACGTTCCGCTTTTACATCGACCGCTTATCGCTTAATTTCCGACCATGCGGTCTTGTCCGACCGGAAACCGACCGCATTTTAATCGCGTTTTTTTTTCGCTAGCTCTGATGAAC